TGGCACATTTTACAGTGTGTGTGTGTGCCCGTGGCATGGTGGCCCGTGTGACATTGTGTATGTGTGACACTGGCCCGTGTGACAGTGTGTGTGTGTGTGACACTGGCATGGTGCCAGCCCATCCCAGGTTGTCCAGGATGTCTCAGCAGAGGAGGAGGTGCAGAGTGCCCATTCCCAGCTCGGCAGCACAGGGCAGGCAGAGCTGCTGGTCCCACTGRCAGGGATGAGTTAAACGTTGCAGGAGCCCATCCAGGGCCAGGCACGAGCTGGTGGAGGGAGGTGTGAGAAGAAAGCACMATGTTGGACAAACAGGTGTCCAAGAGCTGTGTTTTCTATCAATCCTTTCTCCCACCAAGGGCTGACTCGGCTCTCAGGTGCCTTGCAGAGCATCTGCTGCCAAAGTCCACGTGCTGCCATCTGAGCACCCTCCTGTGACAGCCCAGAAACAGAGAAACGGGCAGGATGTGTCTTGGAAAATATTAAAACCACATTTTGAAATGTTTAACCTGGGGCTGGAAGTTGTCTTAGGCACACATGTTTGCACCAGGCCACCTGAACTTCAGGGCTTATTCTTGGGGTCTCTGCAGGTGAAAAATGGCATCTTCACAGGGAAATGTGTGAGTGAAATAAATAATTCCCTGTCTGTCCCTGAGGATAGAACTGAATCTGTAACAGACAAATGATCTTTAAACTACGGAAATTATCAGTGGTTTTTAGTGTATAAGGGACCAATCTCACCCCTGCTGAGGACATGGACAGTCTGGAGTGTCACTTCAGCCCAATACAAACACAAGGGCTCTGCTCTGTCCTTGAGTGTGCAGATTATGTGGGGTTTTTAGAATAAATAATATCTAGGTCCATGTGAAATAGCTGAGGGGTCTGGCAGGTAGACATTTTTACACAGAAAACAGCTCTCTTGGTACAAATGTACTCAATGATSCTCCAGCAGAGGCAATGTTTGAGGCTGATGGGGAAATGCCATAGAGGACTGGTTTGAGAACTCAAGAGAAGTTTCTGCAGAATGGGTTAAATGTAGAAAAGTGGATCTGCACAAACTCACACCTTTCTGTTAGGGTGGGGATCATTTGGCTGGCTAAGTCTCACTGTCCCTTGTCGGTGTGACCCAGGAGATCAGTGGGTCATCACTGCAGATGCCCCTGCTCCCTGAATCATTCACCTTTTCTAAGAGGTGCATCCCTGTCCTGGCATCACCTGCTTGGGGAAAGTCTCTCACAAAAGCTCTGAGTGCTGCCTTTTCCCAGAATTGAATGAATTTATGCTTTCCCTTGCGTTTTTCCTCTGGCATCTCCTGTCAGTTTGCAGCATGGCTGGAGGGAGKCTGAAGGAGGGTGGGYTTTGTTCAGGTGCTGGGAASAAATTCTTCCCTGTGAGGGCAGTGGGGCCCTGGYACAGCTGTGGCTKCYCCAYSCCTGGAAATGTCCAAGGCCAGGTTGGGATGGGTTTGGAGCAGCCTGGGGCAGTGGAAGGTGTCMCTGCCCAGGGCAGGGGGTGGAACGAGGTGATCTTTGGGGACCCTTCCAACCCAAACCATTCTGYGAGTCTGATGCTCTTTGCAGACCAGGGGTTTGATTTCAATCAAATGATTCAAGCAATCAATTTCAAGCAATCCCCACCCCACCACTAAACCTGCTCTAATGTGTCTATTGGATATTTCCAGATTATTTTAATGACTAATCCAGATTTTCATTGTTTGTTGTGGAAACCAATGATATGTTTAGTGAGATTAAACACAAACGCTTATGAATTCTGCCCAAATGAAGGCTGTGGGAAAGTACTGGAATGCAGTATTTGCCAAAGGCACAGAGCAGTCTAATATATTATGTCTTGTGTATATTTGGTGGTTTCCTCTTGTTGCAGTGGAATGCTCTGTAGTAACTGGATATTRCATTAGTGTCTGGCCCAGCTCAAAGGCAGACCCAATTATGTTTAACATCTGGATGAATTAGACTGAAAACAGACATCCTCAGGAAAGGAATATTTTTTGTTTCCTATGCCAAAATAAGAAAGTTAAAGAGCTAATAGCTTTTTTTTTTAAAAAAAAAAAATACCAAATTAATTTATATTACTTTGTAATCCTTGATTTGTATACAAGAAAATGGAAGTGCTGAGATTGTTTGCCAATTRTATTTTAGACTGCTGCAATGAAAGAATGGAAAGTTACATGATTTACTGAGGKTAGTAAGGTATAAAAAATGTTAATTTTTAGTTAGAAGGAGTTCTGAGGAGGCGAGAGGCCTGAGTTCTGCTCCTGCTATGGGACTCAAATGATTTCATGGTGAGGCAGAGTCCTGCTGGTGTGGCAGTGTGTGATTAAAGTCTTTAAGTTGTACTCTGAGGTACAGGGAGATTGTTTAGTTAGGTGAAGCCCCATTCCCACATCTGTGCTCGCTTTCTATCTGTTTCTCTCACATTTTCTGTCTCCTCTTCACCCGTGCCCAGTGTCAGAAGTTTTCCAGGTGCCACGAGCTGATTCCTGGAAAGGCTCTGGGAAGGTCTCTTGGGATTCCCCATCCCATATGTGACCTGTTGGTATTCCCCAGATGGAAATGACTTTGGGAACGTGGTGAAGGGTTCATGAACGTGGTGTTTCATTCATGAAGATTCATAGCACACAGTCTAAAGCCTGCCAAGTTTAGCAAAAAGCTTCTCAGCACATTTAGGGACCAGAAAATTAATTGTTTGATCCACCTAAAGCCATAATTTCAATTACACAAACATCTGTTTACATGCATAAATAATATCAATAATCCCACTTGATTAAGGTGAGCTGCACACTGCCCCTCACCAGCCAGTGCCTCTGGATCCATCCTTGTCCAAAACTGGAGCTGCCACAGGAATGTTTGTTCTCATGGCAGGTTTGTCTTGGAAAACATAACTACAGCGTGGAGATATTGCAATCTGCAGTCTTCTTGTGCAATTACAGAGCCATCCAAAAAGCTTCTGAGAATAGTTTKATATTAGAATAAAGCATATATAGGTGCCAGAAAAACACAATTCTTCACAGATAAGATGACTTCATGACATTTTCCAGCCAGCCAACCCTCAGTAATAAGTTTGAGTGAGCGTCAGCTCTCCCAGAGCTCTGATAAAGCCAGGAAAGGCAAAATCTGATCCAGGCAGTGCTGGGAATACATTGTGTTTGGGATGTGTGGCAGCTGGTGAAGCTGCCTGTTACAAGCATTTGGGTTCTTCTAATTATTGGCAATTAATAATGAACATGTTTTTAAAACTCTGCTTGCATAGATTGCAACTCCCAACTCACAGGGTTCTGGACTAAACCCATGTCAGTGGAAGGAGATGAATTACCCCTCTTTAGAGGAAAGTTTCTTCTCTTGTGAGCTTGACTCGCTGCCTAAGCTGTGGGAAGCTCAGTGCAGCCAGGAGTAGGTCAGGGGGACCATGAGAATTTTATTTTTCTCTGATGTTCCTTGAACAGCCTTGCTGGAAAGCTGGGAAGTCAACAAGGTAGAAATGAGAAAGCAACTTTATTGTATTTATTAATTAAATTCTATTCTAGTAATTAATTTAATAATATATATTTATTCTAAAGACATATGTTTAAAATCAGCAGTGTCATTAGATCTTTTCCTTTTTGATTTTTAGTACTTTAGAGTGTAATTTTTTAATGCTCTTGTGGTGTTTCTGTAGCCTGTAAAAGCAATATAGGGGTAAATTTATGGTTTCAAATTAACCTGATTATMTTTAAAAAAGAAATGAGGAAAATTATGATGACATTCATTAAAAGGGATGAAATGGAAAAAGTTGGGAAGAAATGCATGCATTTGGGATGAAACTGTGATTTCTGGAAAAAGCATTTTTTGAGRAGCACTTACAGAAGTAGAACAAACAATGAGTGTTTGGTGTTTATTAAATCAGAGACTTATGCTGATGGAAGCCAAGAGAAAATGTTGAGRCTGAATAAGGAAAGTCAGGGAATTCAAGGACAATGGAGAGGTATGTGGCGGGTGAGTGCTCAGATTAAAAGGTCAGACTCTGTTGGGGGCTCAGAAAAGGTCTCTCACAGGGCTGTGAAGAATTGCCACACCTCATCTTCCTCATTAAACCCTTGGCCAGAGGCTCTCACCTCCAAAGCCACAGCTTTCCATCACCCAGTGGGYACGTGGGGTGAATGCCAGATGTTCCTGTCCAGCAGTGAGATGTCACCCCTGTGGAAATGACACCAGGGAGCTTTGGGATGGATCCGTTCTGGCACTGCAGCTCCAGCAAAGCTCCTGTGCTGGTCAGCAGGGATCTCTAGAGAGCCTGGCACASCTGGGTGAGGAGGTTTAGGAAGGTTTGTCTATGCCCCTACACAAAAAAAAGGGGATATTGAGATGGATTATTATTATTACTTCATCCTTCTCTAAATTTCTCACAATACTTTGACAGCTCCAGAAAGCCTTGAGTGTGTATCCATGGGTTTCACTGGAAATGTTTACATTCCTCAGACTATGGTGAAATTTATTCTGTGCTCTCAAGGCATAAACCTCCTCCAAATCCCACTTAGGCTCTGCTYTGGGACTGTGTGACACTTTGAGTCCCCTGGCTCCCAGCAGCAGGGTGAGCTTTCCACCGTGCCTGGAAACCAAAATGAGAGTTTGTCCTTGGGTGTTGATGCACAATATCCTCAGCCACCATTACCTACCTGCATGACAGTTCTGGAAATTGCACAAAATGAGAAAATTGGGGGATAGAGTCTTCAGAAACCTTAGCAAGAAACAGACAGATCAGCAGAAAGTGTGTTTTTCAGTCAGCTGAAGGGGATGTCACCTCCTGTTTGCCTTCCTGTTTGAAACCTAAAGTTGAAAGTCCAAGGGGATRAAATTGTTGATTATAGGCTAGAAACAAATAATAACAAAGGGGAAGTATCTACTAAAAAGGAAAGGCAGAGAAAGAGAGGAACTGTGACTTTCAGAGATGCTGGGCACAAAAGCAATGCCAGCCACACTCTCCTGGATGTGGTACCCTTCATTTCTCTCACCCTTTCAACAGTCATGTCAAATGGTTGGAATCTGAAGACTCCAGACATTTGTCTGGAATTTCTGGATATTTCACTGTCTAGTCAAAGGAGCAGCTCTTATTTCCRGACATCTCACATGTCAGAAATGCAGACACTGAGAATGAATCCACAGGAAGAGCTGGACAGAGACCTTGGAACCTGTGCTAGGTCACCAGCCAATGACCTGCCCAAGGTTTCTGGGGTACCAGAGACTACATCTGCCCTCCCCAGGATTCTGGCCTCTCCAGGCTGCCCTGGGACAGCAGGAGGATCACCTGCCAAAGCAAGAGCCTCTCAGGTGATCTTTKGGGAGCAATGAGATCTCACGGTCTGGGGAGCAGATGGGTCAGGTGCTGCGGACTGTGCAACTGATTGGAATCTGAAGAATTTCAGCTAATATTTACATCAAGTGTTTGCCCTTTGATAAGGAACAGGTCATTTACAAATGTGGACATGACACAATATTGGCAGGTTGGTCACAGTGTTTGCATTTTGCACGCTCATTCCCTTCTGGAGAATATTTGTGTGTTGTAGTTTGATCTGGATTAACAGCTGTGGGCTTCCCCTTTATTTTCACAGAGCCATTTGTATAAAAAGGGCAGTTCCAGAAAAAGAGAGCTAGGCATGTTTAAACTCTGCTTGTATTTATTAAGGAAAATGCTCATTCTTGCTTCTGTGGTGGAAAGATTGTGTTGGTCACTTGAAGGGAGCTGCACAGGTACAGAAATGCAGTGCAGGCTGTGTTTGTGCCAGGGGCTGTTTTCCTGGGTCGTTGAGGACAAATCAGAGATGTGATAGAGAGAATAGCTGTGTTTCTGACAGGTGATTATTTGTTTGGGCAAGCATTGTACATAAGTGCAGGTGAATTATGGACCAGTTACAGCACTGTGCAAACCCTAAATCAGGTCAAATAAGAGCAAACTGTAAGTAGAAGAACTCTTGCCCTACAAAAACAAGTGAATTGTTGACTGGCTGTRGTCTGGAGTCACTAGGCTTTCTCTGTACTGAGTTAATTTGCCAGGCATGGGGCTTTGACCTACTGAGTTGGTTGCAAAGAATTCAAGATTGTGCAATGCAAATCACCTTTCCCTAGAACAGAACAGGTTGATGTGGATGGAAGTCGAATTAGGCTCTGTTCTAAACAACAGAAAACAATAAGCAAACAACTTGGGATCTTAATAGGTTGATAGTGGCTTTATTTTCTTCCTTGGGCGTGGAATGAATATATTCCYTGCCTCCCTACATTGTTAATACACYTCCYTTCATCTTTCAGTGGGTTTGGTTTTGGTATACTTTAATTTAACATTTTCCTTCTTGCTTTCAGTGGTTTACAATGCAAGTATTGCAAGCCTGTCTGGAATGTGCACATTGTATTCCAGCCTTGCCAGAATATTTCTGAGACCCAGAGATAGTTCAGTCCACGAGGGAGCTCTACCACCTCCCCACTGAGAACAATAATGCCATTGTTCATGTYAGTTGAGTTTTAAGGACATTAATGATTTTCTCTTACATGGGAAAGAGAGGGAAGTTTTCACATAGTTCTTTAAACACATTGAGATCAGCGATTCTGCTGCCAGGGTTGAGGAAATGTCTTCTCCAAAAGAAATAAGGCAAGTTTTCCCTAATGTGTGTTTCAGTATCAGTCAGAGGTTCTTACCTCAGTCTTCTAAGACACTGAAATTATATTTCCTATTATTTCTGGTATCATCATAAAAATATGCATCAAAAATTTTTCACTGTATTGCCAACTTCACTGTAAATCCCAAGGAGGAGCTTGAAACCATGGGGGAAAAGAGATCTTAGAATGACTGGAATAGGAAACCAAGAGAGTACTTTCATTGATAGACATGAACCAAATCACAACTGTTTCTTGGACTCTACACATTGCTGTGAAAAGTTAGAGCCAGATTCTCGTTGTAAATCAGGGTGACTCCATTAACTTCCATGGAACTGTGCCAGCACATCCAGACAAAGACTCGGTCTATTTATAGCACCGTCAGTAAGAGCTGCTTTCAGAGGTTCCACTGGGAGAAAACTTTGATTAAAGCAAGGGAGATAAGAATGACAGAGGAATCTGCCTTCTGGGTCTCCTGTGGAATGTGGCTCCCCCGGGGTTGGACGCTGTGAACCCACAGCACCTCCAGGCACTGCTGAGCTCTCCCAGCTCAGTGAGAGCAGCGGTCACTGCTGAGGGTCACATTTCCAGGGCACCCCATTTGCTGGGAAATGTAACTGCAGAGTGATGCTTTGTGTGTCCTCCCAGYCTGCAGTTAGTGTCACTGCAATCACTCAGCTGCTTTCTTCCCTCTATGGTTTCAGAAAACCCAAGTGTTTCCTTTCACCAGGTATCCAAGATTTTTGTTTCTTTAAATTCCTCAACACTCCATRGGGGAAAGGATGGGGAATGGCATCACCAGCCACTGATGCTTCCTATTTCCTTTGTGACCCTGCTATTCAGAGACAGACAAATTTCACAGCTGTGTTTTAAATCATCTGTAAAGAAAGAGAGAACTCCAGACATCCTTGAGTTGCTTTCTTACTGAAATTAAAAAAAAAAAAAAAAAAAAAAAAAAAAAAAAAAAAAAAAAANAAAAAAAAAAAAAAAAAAAAAAAAAAAAAAAAAAAAAAAAAAAAAAAAGCAGAAGTTCCCACTCTGTGGTGTTAGGCTGTTTTCATTTCCCAGAAACCAGTTAATTTATTTAGTGTGCCCCACCAGTCCAAGTTTCATTTCTAGATTAACTTGTGTATTTTGGCTCACATCCATCTCTTCCTGTGGCTCAAAATGAATGATACCAGGACCGTCTTTGAAACAAGGAAGGAATGCGATTTTTTTTATTAAAGAGCAACGTCACCCTGAAACCTCTCTTTCTGCCTTTATGAGGCCCTGCCATAGAAACCCGAGTTTGGGAATGGCAGATTCATGTCTGGTGAGCTCAACCTTTGTGAATRAATGAGACACATAACATTCTGGAGGGACCTGGACACAGTTTGTGTCTCCTCAGAAGGCCTGTCACTGGAGCAGCTCCTTGATGAAGGTTTTCAAGACTGTTTGCTTTCTTTTGATAACTAATCAGTCTCCAGAGCTGGTTTCAATGAGAATTACTAAGCCAGGTTGCTGGCTAGCACCTCTCCAGTGCCAGGTTCAGTTTTATCAGGGGCTCATACAGCCTGCAAGCATGTCAGGGGGTCTGAAGATGGCAGAGGTGACTCAGGRGGTCACAGTGCTGGTGTGAGAATCTCCTGCTTGCCTTCTTTCGGTCCATGAAGTGTCTCCTTGTGGAGATCCATTTGTTAAACTAAACCCATGGGTGCCATGCTCAGCAACCAGGGAGGAACTGCCGAGTGCTGATGATAAACATGGGCTGTTTGCCAGGCTCTGCCAAAATTGTGTATTTGTCGCACATGAACTCAATGCTAGTGCTTTTTTCTAGTCCATTTGGGACTTTGCAGGGGAGTTCCRAGCTGCAGCCATAAATATTTGGCTGCCTTTTAAAATCTGGGATTTGGTACTGAGAGCAGAATGTCTCATCAAGATGCTCAGTCAGTCTCAAGACACTTTCTACAGGACTCTGGGCAAGGTGTTTTCTAAGATGTGCCATGAAAATCCTCCCACTGAGTCTTTTTCACACATTTTTCTTTCTTTTTAGGAACCTCTAGATATTGTCGGAATGTGACTGCAGAGAAAAATGTTAATTTCTAACAACTTGGTTGTGGACTTTTAATCAGACTTGGATTTCTGGAAATACTACAGCATGACTTCAGCTGGGAATGAGCTAGAGAGATGGAGTCCCAGGCAGGGTGGCAGAGCTGGGAAGCTGGTAGAGCCTGTGAGCTCTCCTGAAAACGATCATCTTTCATCAGTGCAGTCCATCAGCTGCATGGAGCATCTCCTGCACCTGCCAGCTGCAGACTCTGCCTACAGCTCCTTCTCAGGGGGATCCAGTGGTGCAGAGCTCAGCACGCCGTGGTGCCACGSTCAGTGCTGCTGTGTGCCTCCAGAGCAGGTCTCCTACATGGACTCGGAATATGTGACAGGAATTTACAACCTCAGGGCTGCACACGGTGACCTCAGATCCCCCGAGCCGTGCCAGGCCCCAGAGCTGAGCACCCACAGCAGCTCTCACAGCACCTCCACAGATCACAGCAGAGCTGCTCCCACCCAAAGGACTCCAAATCAGAGACCCCCAGCCCTGGCAGCACCTGCACCGTCCCCTCCCACACGACTCGACAGCTACAGTGTCACTCACAGACACTTGGGCAGGTCAAGAGGGGGCCGTGGCTCTGCAGGGCACAGCGAGGAGCAGCCAGCTCCTGGAGTGCAGGACAGCCCGCTGGCACACAGGGATGGACCACAGAGCCACCACCGGGCTGCAGTTACACAGCAACATCTACAGCCTGAYGGGGAAAAGACTCTGGAAAACAAGAGCCTTTCTTCTGATTTTATAAATGATGTACCAAAAGTTCAGGGGTTAAAGACTGAGGAAAATGGAGAGTGGAGCCCATCACGACAGCCTACGAAGAGAAATAATCCACACGTTTTCAGCAGACCTTCTTCATTCATTTTTCAAGAATATTTAAAGATAGATTCTGTGGCGAATGCCCCCAAAATACTCTCTGCTCATAACTCAATTCATGCTAATAAAATTCCCAAAGAGATGAACTCCAAACCCTATCACCGAGCACATTCCAACCCCAGCGCTGTTAATGATACACAGGAGGTCAAACAGTGTCCCTGGCCAAGTGCCAGAGAGGCAGCTCTGCCAAGCACAAGGAAAGAGTCCTTGGCCCCTGCTCAGGACCCTCTCCATGCCCAGTGGCATTCAGACATGGACCAGGATGTGTTTGAGGACAGTTCTGACTTAAAACATACAGAGAATGTTCATCTAAATAAAAATGTTCCCAGGAAGATGAACAGTTGTACAGACAAAAATCAGTGCTGTGATCCTGAAGGGGGAGTTGGGAGTGATGTTAGGGAACCAGTCCCAAACCAAGCCCCCAAAGGGCAGAGATCAGCACAGCCCTGCAGTGCTGTGGAAGTGGGGCACCCTCGGGGCGAGGAATGGGGTCAGGGCAGGAAGCAGAGCTGCGATGGCACAACCCAAATGGCTTTTTTCAGAGCGACGGAAGATTCCACAGCTCAGTCATTACGTGATGTCCAGAAAGAGAAACAAGGTAACAGCAGCAGTCCCGGCCTCAKCACGGGTCTGGAACAGGAGGAGCCTCAGCCCGTGTTTCTAACACAGCTCTCCAGAGAGCCCCGGCCGGAGAGCGCTGGGGAGCAAATAACCCAGCAGGCAACTCCCATGCTCTACTACCTTTCTGCAGGGAAAACCACGGCTGTCCTGCACCCCAACAAGCTCACCCACAGGCAAGAGGACTCAAGGAGCTCACCAAAGGAAAGTCCTTCCAGCAGCTGTTTTGCCTCAGCACGGTGTCCAGAGATGCAAAGAGAAAGGCATCAGCTYCAGAGGAGCAGCCACCGGCAGCAGCGCAGTGCTGACGATCTCCTGCTCCAGRGCAAAGACCTCACTCTCAGGARTCCTGCCTCCTTCACTGAAGAGAAYTTCCAGAATGACTATATAGAGAAACTTAAATTGGCTCAGAAGAAGGTTCTCAAAGAAACCTCCTTTAAAAGAAAAGATTTACAGATGAGTTTGCCYGTCAGACTGAGACAGAAATCTTCTAAAAGGCCATCGATTGAACACCTTCGGTCTGTCTCGTTATCCAGTGCAAGCGAGGATGCCAAACCTGTTCCTTGCTCCCCTTCTCATCGAGAATCCTTGGAAAGTTTCAGTACAGATGAAGAAATAAGGAGGCCACAAAAAAACCAAGCAGGGGGAARGAAAAGGGTAACCCAAGAGCAAAAGAAACTGTGCTACTCTGAGCCCGAGAAGCTCGATTACCTAATGGATAAGGAACTATCACGGAGTGAAGGTAGGGATGAAATCACTGAGCAAGGTGCAGTGGAATCCAGGAGAAGGGATGTGGAGAGCAGAGGGAGGGCACTTTCCAGYTCAAGTGTCTCCAGGACAGAGCTGAAACAAATCCAGCACAGCGCACTGGTGGAATACATGGAACGAAAGATCAGTCGGAGACCACGTGTRTCACAACACCCCCCACTGCACAGGCCACCCCTGCAGAAGAGACTGGCAAATCCCAAAGGACCTCCTGGCCAGACTTCCAACCCAACTGGGAGCAGGAAGATGCAAAATGATGATGTTTTCTGCCGAGTTCTCTCTGAACAAAAATCACCAGATGTTCCTCCTCCTTTGGCTTTTGCTCCCCCGCGGAGCGTGAGCAGCAGATGTGATCCCAACAAAGGGGACAGGACCTGCACCAGCAAGTGTCCATCAGCTGAAAATCTGCCTCAGACAGGAGATCCTGCATCTGGGAGAGCTCCTGAGAGATCAAAATCCACTCCTTCATCCACACAGGTAAGAAACCAGTACCTAAAGGGGGCCTAAGGAAAGTCAGAGGGGGACTCTGGCACATGGAAGAAGCATTTATAAGGAATATGTGCTGCATGCAGGATGAGGCTGCTTGTGCTCCAGCAGTCATTATTGTTAATGACAGCAAATTCATTAGAGTCCTATCCCAGAAAAGGTCATTATAGAGAGAATTTTGTAAATTACCAATCTCTTTTGGCTCCTGAATTTGAAAAGGATTATCTGTCAATATTGTTGAGAATAAAGAAGATAAAGGGTCAGAAAATAAATAATTTAACATAYCACTAAAACTACCCTACTGAAGAGTCTGACAAACTTCCAGCAATACTGAATTTCTGAATTGCTGTGAGACTAGAAATGCATTTTGTTGACACCTGCTCCTTTGGTTTTCTGGGGGAGAAAAAAAATGGATGCTAGCTAGAAAGAGCATAATAGCAATGCAATTTAATTAATAAAAAACAGAAATACACCAAAAAAACTCAACGATTTAAAAACAACGACAACAGGCAAAACCCAAACTTTCCCCCTAGAAAAAACAGCAACAACAGCCCACCCAACAAAATAAACCACAAACAAACRAAAAAGCACAAACCTCGGTGAACCTATTTGGAKATATACRCARCTTCCCTTTCTGGGGWTAACAAACGTGTCAGTAAAATTAARRAGCCGCCTCGCCTGAMRTGCTGGCTGCCCCAGTGTGCTGTTTTCCCTTGCAGGACTCGTGCAGATGTGCCAGATGTGCAGCAGCACCTTCCCGGCGCTGCGGGAGCTGCCCCGGCCCCGGCAGGTAAGGCTGTGGAACTGTCCCGAGCGCTCCCCTCCCTCTCCCTCGGGATCCTGCTCTGTCCATTCCGGAATATTCACCCGCTGCTATTTGGGTCAGTCTTTAAAATCGTTTTTMCCGCGTGCAGTGCGAAATGCCCGGGGCCCTGAGCGGCTGTCCCCGCACAGCCCCGCTCCACCGCAACTCTGGGATCACAGCTCCCTCATCCGAGCTCTGGAGAAAACAGCATTTCCAGCGGCTCGGAAATACCCAGTCCTGGAGAATAAGTGTGACTGGACTGGTGTAATAAGGGGTTTGGAGTGTTTTTTAAAAGGAAAAAAATCTGTGACGTTTATAAATCACTAACTGGGATGTTTGTGTTTTAACTTTCCATATTTGCTTTCGTGGTTTTAGGAGCATCAGGAGAGATAAACATCTGAACCCTGACTCAGCAAGGCAGTTATGCTGACTCTTTTGTTGTCAAAGTATTTCCACTCTTTCAATCATTTAAAAATATCCCAATGGTTGCTGGAGACTTGAATGGCTTATGAAAAAAAAAAAAAAAAATTGAACTTTTTCTTAAATTTCCTAGTTTATCAGGTTAGCATAAAAGTAACTGAAAGTTCCAGGCAGAATGATAATGTCAGAAACATTTGATCACAGCCCTTAAACAGCCTGCAAAAATACCTATTGTAGAGGGGATATTTCAAATAAAAGGGACTATCTTCTTACTTACAGTGTCCGTGATCCTGAGAAAGATGGGCCTGAGAATCATGGTCATAACGACATAAGTGCACGTGTGTGYTGTCAGGATGAAAAGCAGCAGAATCCTGAAACCTCTGTGCCTGTCCCAAGAAGTGGAAGCAAGGAGGGCGTTTGGCTGGAGCAGGAATGCAGAGCTCAGTCTCCAAGGGGGAATGATGCCCTCAAGAGTCCAGAGCAGCCTGCAGCTCCTCCAAAACAGGGAATGCATCTCCACAYGGAGCTGGCTCAGCCTCACCAAATCAGAGACAAAAATCCAGCCAAAGGTTTAGTGGCCCAGGAAACAGCTGTGAACAGCAGCCACGATGATGTTCCCCTGGAGGGAGAGACCGAAAGGAGGCTGCAGTCCCCTCAGGACCAGCGATACCATGAGCTGGCTATGGAGATCCTTGCCAAAGACAGTTCTCTGGTGGACATTCTCATGCCTCATCCTCTTAGAAAAACTGCTTTGGACCTGATGGAGGGTTTTTTTCCTGTTAACGTTTCCATGCTGGATAAGTCATACCGGAAAAGGGGAAAGGTACAGCATGGGCAGGAGAATGAGTAAGTAGACAAAACCAATTATCTAGCACTTTGGTCTRTTTTAATGCATTAATATCATGTATATACTAGTAGTAAGATAACCTTGAGCGTATTGTTTTATTTTTGTTTCGTTAGAAAAATATTTTAGCTTTCAGACATACCAAGAAACATCTGAGGTTAAGGGTATATGGTAGAAGAAAAGTGGTTCGATGATGCCTTATTAAAGGGACTGTGACAGAGCTAGGCTGCCAATCTTTTGCTTTATATCTTCTAAAAAGTTAGATCTCCTGGGGTGAGAAGAGAGGAGAGTGATCCTGAAGTCAAGATGGATAAAACCATGAATTCAATGTTTGCGAAGAAAAACATTGGCTATGGGTGTTTATTTTCTGTTCCAATAACAGGAAAAGTCATGGAGATGGACCAGAAGAATGTCCTGAATCTGAACATGAAGCCAAGCAAGACAACAAAGATCCTGCCTCTAAGGGAAACCAAGTCCTGAAGAGCAGCAACGACAGCACAAATGAGCTAGATGACATCACATCTAAGAAAGTATGTACATGACCATCCCAGGAACAGCTATTTCTCTATCATGACCAAAAAAATTATTATTAATGTCATTATTACTATGGATATTTTTATCCCAATAACTTTTCATAGGTAATTTTGAATCACTTTTTGCTAGTAAGGGAATTCCTGGCAAATGGTGTTGACCATAAATGGTGGTATTTAAATCCTGCCTGGTTTGACTCAGATCTCTCATCTCTCATCATTAAAAGTCTCCTTGCACAGCCAGCTCCTGTGCAGCAGCAGCTAACTCCCRATTTAGCACTCAAATCTAACCTCAAAATCTGTAAAATAAATTAGAGCTGGCAGCCTAAATAAGAAATATTCTTTACTCTGAGAGCTGGCAGCAGCTTCTGCACATTCCAGGGTCCAATTAATTCCATGCATGCAAAGAATAGAGGCCGTCGCTGGATTGATAGAAGAATGGAGTTTGGAAAAGCAGTTRTGTAGCTTTGCAGAGTTAGGTGGGCTCTTTCCCCAGCCATGCTCCATCTCAGGTAATGACAGCCTTGCTCACTGTCTGACTGCTCTCCTGTTCATGGTGCCATTGTYCAGCTTCCAAAGAAGCTGATGTTGTGCTCCCACTCCAGTCTTGAGGCCTTTTTCTGTATCACTTCCCTGTGAAACAGCCTCCTCTGATTGCTTTATACCCAGACACCATGGCCTGCTTTAATTGCCCATGGAACTGACGTTTTTTGTGTGTATGATGAATGAAACTCCAATCAGTTCTTCCAAAGCTTGGTACAGAGATGGGACTTCATTCTCACGTCTTAGAACAGCAACTCTGTGTAATCATGTTGTAATCTTTATTGCAGCTCCCTTCTGACTGATTGGAAGCTCTCTGAGCCAGGGAATATATCACCAGTTAAGGTGATTACCAGTAATTTGCTTTTCAGASTTTGAGAATTAAGTACAGCTTAGAAAAGATTGCTTTTTCCCCCCTTTTTTCTTTCCTGTAGCTTAAAACTATTTTAAAAGCTGAAAATTTTGCAAAGGTAGTGTGAGGAAAATCCATTCTCTAGTACTGATTTTTTTTTGGCAATAACAGCTTTCTGTGGGTTTTTTTYTCCCCTTTGCAGCTGGAACTGATGGCCAGTGTCCGATGCAGGCTGCAGGCGCTGTGGGAGGAACGGGAGCAGGTTCTCTCGGAAGTCAGGGAATGTGCTGAGCGGGGTGAGGAGCTCCAGGCCACCGTGAGGGACCTGTGCAAGCCCAACGAGTTTGAGCGCTACATGATGTTCATTGGGGACCTGGAGAAGGTGGTGAGCCTCCTGCTCTGCTTGTCCAGCCGCCTCGCCCGCGTCCAGAACGCCATCAGCAGGATGGATGGCAGCACAGACGCCGAGGAGAAGGTGAGGGGTAACAGAAGAGCTGAATTTGTTCAGTCCTCTGCTTTCTTGGTGCGGGTTCAGTGCTGGAGGACACCTGGGTGCTGGGTGGCAAAACCCTGCACAGCTCCAAGCCACAGGAGTGGCCTTTGGACCCTCAGGCTGTTCCCTGTGGAGTAGCTCCAAACCTGTGCTTCACRGGGCTTTTTGTGTTTTTATTTCTCCACTGCAGTAATTACTGCCTTTGAAATAATGTTTCACTCTATATGCTTGTCCCAGCGAGCAGGAAGATGTGGTCATACCTTGAGATAAAATTTGCTGTACTTTAACTCAACTAGCCAGCTTTGCTGGAAAATGGGGAATTGTCTCATGTCACCAGGAAATCATTTGAACTCTGGGAGTTAAAGACAAGCCAAATTTATCCCAGGAATTATGCTTCCCTGCTGTCCTTATTGCTCTTAGATGTGTTTCTATCACCTGCTGTGATCTCTCATTTGGAAAAGCAGAGAGTTTAAAAAACTGGGATTTTCTGGAGCTATGCTGCTGCTGCTGACCTGTATCTCTGGAGGTTCATCATAGCTCACACACAGAATAGCACTAAAAGGGTCCTTCCATGCAGTGTGACTTGGARGGCCAGGATTTACCTCTTCCAAAATGTCAGTTGTGTTACTGTGAATAACTTTGAACAGTGTTTCATGCTTAGTTTCACTTTATGGCAGGCAGGGAGGGTGGTGTTTCTCCAGTACTACTTTTATGCTCTTCATAGGAAACACATTTAAATAATTTATTCAAATGTTTTAATAACAYGCCTAATAAAGACTTGATTAAGTGCCAACATTTTTAACAACCATTTTCCAGTAACTGGATTTGCCCTCATGTCAGCAAAACCCGCAGTCTCATTCTTTGATTCCTTTTTTGGGGTGTCAGTAGTTAGTGACAATTGCTCTGTGCTCTATTTATGGACACTATCCTGAAATGGGGTATTTTCCAGCAGTGTTATCCTTATGAAAATTATTACAGCTGAAAGAGAATTAGCTCAATGTGAAAGGTATTAAAATCCTGTACAATAAGCAAGGCCCAACTCTTTAAAAGAAGCCTTTGATGAACAGTTACTGTCCACATCACAGTCATTTTATCACACGGACCTTTCAATAGAAGCCACTCTATCATTTTAATATGTCAGTGGCACTCTGGCCACATGCAATGCACAAAACACAAAGATATGTGCCTTAAAGAGCATCTAATTGAATTAAGATGGTTACAGGTTACTTTAAAATGACCAGAATGTTAAGTATATTGATTGTTTTCCTGAGGGTATCAAGGAAGGAGTGAGCCTTGATGGTATTTACTGTGTCTTTACCTTATAAGCCACAAGAATGAGTAATTCAATCAAGAAAAAACTCAAGTGGAACACAAAGCCCACAGGAGGAAGTAATTAAATTAAATCGACTGTGGCTTCCAAATGAAGAAATAGAGGCTGGCAGGAATGATGGGTTCTCATGGTGTGCTGCTCTGTTCTTTCCTTCCATTAGCAATCGCTGAACGAGCGGCACAAGCTCTTGTCTCGACAGCGGGAAGATGCAAAGGACCTGAAGGAGAATCTGGACCGTAGGGAACGCGTGGTCTCTGGGATCCTTGCCAAATACCTGACAGAGCAGCAGCTCCGGGACTATCAGCACTTTGTTCARGTCAAAACCTCCTTGCTGATTGAACAGAAGGACCTCGAAGAGCAGATTAAGTTTTTCGAAGACCAATTAGAAAATCTCGAGCAGAGCATCCCCCTCTAACAGCCACCACCAGGCCAGACATTTTCACACATTATTTATGTTTCCCTGGAAATCCACAGGCACTCTCAGCACAGGGCTCAGYTTGGTGGATTCTTCCAATCCTGTTYGTGCCACAGCATTGACAAGTCCTTAGATGCTCCAGGATGCTCTGGGCACACTCTGGACGTGCCTTCCACTTGGACAGGCCAGCTGACAGCATCTCCCAGTGTGTAGCAAACTGCCTTTTGGACAGGACTGATGGGATTCATTGCTCCTATTAACTTGGCGTGTATTCCCCCTTCTTCTTGTCCGTCCATCTGTTTCCAGATCGACATAATCTCAATAAAAGAACCATACAAATATTTGCCTCTTGTGGGTGGGTTGAGTGTTTGAAACGAAAAATTATGTGGGTGTTCAKATTTGAATTGGTGATTGCACAAAGCCATAGGAAATGTTATGGACCATTTCAGTGAAACTCCTGCACTCGTTTTTACTGTTTATATGTGTGATAGAGTAAAAATACACTGTAATRGAAGAAAATAATTACTTCCTTTCTTGGCAGTTGCTATCCATGAGTCTTTCCTGGCTCTATGGAATCCTGGTAGGCTGTTCAGGGGAGGTGGGAAAAAGGGTGGTCTTCATTGACATCAAAGAGTCRATCAGTGATGTAGCCAGTTTAAATGAACAGTTTTGGGAATCATAAACTCTGAGCTTATTCCTGCAGTCATTGACAAAACCCTTGCTGTGCTTTTGAAGTGTTTATTTTTCAAGCACAGCAAGGGTTTTGTCAATGACTGCATCTTCAGGGGGTTGTTTTCTGGTAGTTTTCAATTGTCAGYGTGCACAAAAAGCATGAACATGGGGAAAGAGCTCTGCTGCAGACTGGGGCAGGTGGAACMACTGGGAGAGATTATTCAGTTTCAATGAGATTTTATATAAATCCTATGGCAAAAATCTTTTAAGCCAGGGTTGTGCATTGAGTCAAAGGCGTGATGTTGCTGTATTTAAAACCTCAGTGTGTTTTGTTTGCAAGAATTCAGTGAGAACAATGAGCAGTCTGAGCTACATACCTAGACCATGAATAAGGCAGACACTAATTGAACTCAGGTTTCTTCCAAAGCCAAAATAGATGTTCATTGTGTCATGATGGGATGGTGGGCTTTACCAAGAAATGTTTTACTAGTGGTGTGTGTCCTGGCAACAGTAACTATCACCACCACTGGGAGAAGCTGTCCTGTTYCTGAGGAATCTTCTTTGGAATTGCACAATGTCACTGGGTACAAAAACTCCAGAAGCACAGTGACCAAGCTGCTGAGAGTAGTGTGGTTGTTGCCTTAATACCTGGGGGAAAASGGCCAGACGCTGTAGATCCTGTGACTAATCTGCTCAGTGGTTCTCAGAAGGCCATAAATACAGGCTTTTAATACATAAATCTGAAAAGTGCCTTTTGAAAATGSTCTTTAAAATAACAGAAGCGATGCTAATGGAGTGGGTGGAGAATTTTTAAAAATAAGAGCCATGTTAAATGAGTTGTTTACATGATTTGAGAAGCCTGACTTGAAGGTGCACTTTATTCTCATTATTCCTAGTTGAGGGAGAAACCTGATTGGAAATAAATGTTTTGTAATTGAAGCTAATGCTTGCGTTTAAGGGGAAGAATGGATCTGCCCTGTTTAGCTTATCTTTTTAGGGTTTTGTGTCATAGGGAGGGTGATCACTGCCCCTTCCAYAACTGGCACTCACAGTTCTGCTTCAAAGAGCAATAATTAAAAATAACTTTAGGTCTCCATTTATTTAAGACTCCTTGGAACTGTTAGAGTGTAAATTCCAGGCAAAGTKAAAAATGGACACAGTGATACCACCAGAATCTCCTTGCAGGCAAGCAGAGACACCCTTTCAAAGCATCAGGAGGTCTGGATTGTCAGGTGGGTCTTGGTTTTGATATTGAAATTTGTTACCAATGTATTATGAGGGTAATGGTGAAAGCTCCTGCTGGACTTCAGCCWCACAGCATTCTTGGCACACCAACATACTAATGCATGGTAAGTCYCTCTCTGCTCTGATCAGCTGTGGTCTCTGGAAGTACAGAATGAAGCCAAGAGATGGTTTAAGCACATGCTTTTGAAYCCCATTGCCTTTTGCTGGAGGTTCMGTGTTTASAGCACTARTTATATCCCCATACCAACACATGGCTGGGGCAGTTGAACTTAGGCAGTTTTGAAGCCAAGGTGCTCAGAAATGCAGAACATCTTCATTTTACAACACTGTGATCCCACACTGCTCCAGTTTTTTCTGACCCTTTCCTATCAGAAGACAAATTTAAGTCTTGAACTGCAAGTAGCAGTGACTGGTGGTCTTCTTGAGGAAGCAAATCCACAAGGACTATGGAAATTAAACCCTAATAAAGGGTTTGTACCTAATACTGCTAACTGTAATATAATAATCCTAATAAATTGTACCTAATTACTGCTCATGCTATTACACACCAGCCTTCCATTAGTGACTTCTGCAGCAATGACATCGAGTTACCTCGGCCCTGGGAAGGTATCAGCTTCCAGGGACTTCTGCGCCTTGGCAACTCCTCTGTGCTGGGCTCCTTGTTATGCAAACGAAGTCAGGTAGTTTGAGCTGGGGGAATGCAAGGAATGAAGAAGCTKCCCGGTACCTGACCCTSGGGGACAGCAGCAGGAAATCCCCGYCGCTGCCCAGCCTTAGGGAGTCTCCTGTTGCAGCCTGATCTTTCACAGGTAAAGCGTAACGTGAGCCCCGCTCCACGGAGCAGTGAAATCGGAGCCCTGCGGGGAGCTGTCTGTGTGAATTGATGACAGGAGAGTGCAGAACAGCAGTGCTGAGCACGGGGAAGAGGTGGAAGAGGCAAATTGAGGAGCCCGGATCTGCCGGAGGGTGCCGGTGGGGGAGGCTGTGGGATTCCAGGAGCCATCCCTGCATCTCGCTTGGCCACCCACACACGAGCAGCGTGCAGAAACTCTGCAGTAGCTCATGTTCTGCTAARCAGGAGCAGGTGGGCCTGATTTGGGGGTGAGAAGATGACTGGGATTGCCCGAGGCAGAGCATGAGCCTGGGGTGCAGCTGTGGGGGMAGTCAGCGGCAGCAACCGAGAGATTTTAGACACAATGGCTCGTTTAGAACTTCATTTAACACCCCTGCAGTGTGTGGGAGTCACGGGTGGATCAGGAGCTGCTGTTTCAGCCTCTTGGGCACGAAATTGAMGGGTATTTATTATTGTGTTTCAATTATTTTCTTTACTGGGGCGTTATGCTGGGGGAATTTTGCATGTGGAACTAATTAAGGAACAGAGGGCTGCMGGAGTTAATGTAAATGTACTCTGCAAAAAAAGATCTGTTTGGTGCTTGTGAGAGCTGCATTTAATAAGTAGAAGGATGTTCTTTCTGCTTTGAGAATTCATGGCAACCATCTGAATAAATTTTTAAAAATAAACTCAGAGCAGCATTGCAAAACTAATCTGTGCCTGGAGGGAGCCCACGTAGACATTAAAGAATAATCAGCCTGTAGAAATCATGCAACCTCTGGGATTCACAATAGGGTCTCAAGACGCAGCACATGAATTTCACTGCTAAATGAAGAGAGGCATTAAAGGTTATCAGAGACTCTAAAATACCACATGAGCCTTGAAGCTGAGTCATCTCATAGATAAATCCATAGAGGGAGAATATGGGCTGGACTGATAGYCCTGATTTAGAGAATAAGAGACACTTCTAAAAATGTGCATGAAGAGACAGAGGTTTTTCTAAGGGGTTCAGCCCATGGTGGAAGAGCAAGGACATCCCAAACTACCTCAAAAGGGAAACACTTGTGAAACAATCTCTCCAGAGATCCCTGCCTTGTAACAGCACCTGATGGGATGGCTGGTGCCTGCAGGACCCCGTTCTGTGCTTCAGCTGCTCCCTGCTCAGCGCAGGATCAGTGTCACCCGATGTCACAACTCCTGCCTGGAGAGGTGAGAGCTGGTCCAGTCCCGAGCCGATCCCAGCCCAGAGTGGAGCTGTAGTTCTYTGTTGCAAAAAGGGAAAAGACCATGGGAGAGTGGTGGAAGGAAACACAGCACAAAAATAATAGTGAGAAAGTCTGTCTGTTCCACTGCAGTTTGTTATTGTGACCATACTGGTGAAACTCATTGGTGTGACCATCTGCCTCATGCAGCAGGCTGTGGGTGAGGACACTGGGAAGGACCCCAATCCATGACCTACATCAAGGSCTTGTCCATTTGGGAGTCATGTTCTATTCAGTGGAAATGATGGTTATTTGTTTTGCGTCAGCTGTGATTCCACAATGCTTGCTGTGCTCAGCTGGAGTCTCCTAYGTTTTCTGGAGAGTCTCAAGATGCTGGGGATGGATGACTTTCTTCTTGGGAAACAATGGTTTGGCTGGAAACGTGTGCTTTCAGGTGAAGGAGTAATGCTCTATCTGGGGCATAGATAGAGCAGAAGTCCTACCAAGAAAAGGAAACCTGAGTACTGCCAGCATCGTTTTTGTTGTGCACATCTCTATTTTCTCTTCAAGAAGGGTAAGATRTACTAAAGCTGTCCTAATATTAACAGTATGGATCTATTTTGCCTGGTTCRGGATTACACATGCAATATAAGGGCTAGATGTGCTTAATGACTTGCTTTGTCTTATAAATGAGTGAAATAAACCTTGAAACTGGAATAGGATCAGAGTTTTTGATCAGACTTCATTAGGATGCAGAGTTTTTGATCTGTGTTGTCCTGCTCTGTCCCTACAGCAAACAAACACCACACTGTTTGTGCCCATGCTACGTGCTGGCCAAGTCCCTGTTAACAACCTCCTAATTTGGGGAGTCCCACAATAGTACAAACRACTGGAAAGAGCAAAAACTGCCATGTTGCCATTTTACTCAGATTAATATGCAAATTGGGAGGCAAATACATCCAAGGAATCTAGGTCAGGGTGGAAACATGAAGAGAGGGAGCAAGGGATCAGCAATGGGAATTAGGGGACTTTCTAGAAATGCCTCCTCTACCTCCAGCTGGTAGCTGCAGCTCCCTTTGCTCTTTTGGAGTTACTGTGACTCTTCCACTGCACCTTGGGTTTGTGATGAAGCTGAAATCTCATTAAGACTTCTGCAGTGCAGGAGAAGCATTTCCTGGGTTTTTCACAGCCCGTATTTCTGCACAGCACTCACAAGGGARTGGAGACAGCCACAAATCTGTGAGCCTGACCACAACCACACTGCCTGACACTGCTCAAACAGMCACATCCGGGAGGACAAAGTCTGTCCCTTTGTGCAGAATCGTCGTTTGAGGTTTGTTTGYAGAGCTCTTCAGAGCAGGTTTTTGAGCTGATATTCCTCAGAACACAATGTGCCAAGGAACAGACAAACCAAATTATCTTTAGCAGGAGGACTGAGTGAGGGTCAGACAAACATCAGCTCTGCTGATCCCTAATGCTGCTGAACTAAAATCTGAGCTTGTTTTATTGGTGTAGGTGCTCCACTGAATGCGCATTCACAGGGTGGGGGAATGACACTGCTCATGCTGCCTACAGGCCTAAATACGTTATCTTGATTTCAATTTGCCTATCAGYACTGACTGTGTGCTTTAAACAAGTGGCCAAGGTGATTATCTCCATTTTATAGCAGGAAAACTGAGACATGCTGAGAGGGCAGGCTAGTAACCACCGGGCAGCTGAATCCTGGTGCTGTGCCTTGATCTGTRCCTTCCATCTCCAGCCCTCTCCAGGGGGCAGAAGCAGAGCTGGGAGGGCCTCAGCTTTTTCAGTTTTTATCTTTCATGCTATTASCTTTGATGGTGCCTAAGGCAGCTCCCAGCTCTGGGCTGGCATTCAAAGGCTGCATGCCCAGCCCTGGCACAGGCTGTGACACAACCCTGCCCCAGGCCAGAGTGTTGAGGGAGCCCTGTCCTCCTTTCAGCTGTTCCTTGTGAAAACATCCTGCCTAAACTTTACAGCTGTCATTCCTTCAGGTGAAAATCCTACTGTGTTCAGCCAGATTTGGGCTTGACAGAATGAAGGAGAATCAGTCAAGCTGAGGGATTCATAACAGTCCTGCTTTAGTCTCTTGATGAAAACSGTCTCATGATCATTCATCATCCTACAGTGTCCCTTCCACAATTTAAAGGGCAACACAGGAAACCAAAACCCAGCAAGGCTGACAGACTGGTTTAACTTCAAACTGGAAGCACTATATATATCTGTAAGATTACAGCAGTGTGTTCTCGATACCTCTCAGGATTTGTCTGCACCTGAAGTTGTATGGCACTGCGTGTACTCATCCCAGCCTCCCTAAATACTATCTTTTCCTTCATCAGCTCAGCAAGGAGGAAGGAGCTGAGTCACTGCACAAACTTGCTGGCAGAGCCCGGCCCACCCCACCCACAGTATCCGACCTTGTGAGCTCCTCACCTTTGTGTCAAAACCCTCCTGCCAAGCCTCCAGCACTCCCTGGGGAAYGCTGCGAGGAGGATGAGGAGGAGGGCTCTTGCTGCTGGGCATTTTTCTACCACACCAGCTCATCACTGCAATGCCTCTGAGGAAGGAGTAGTGCAGAATTTCCTTGATGAGACGTGTTGCAATGAAGTCTTATCTCAGCTGTGACTTCTTTGACAGAACAGAGAAACAATGAAACCTCCTCCTTACTTTCCCTGAGGTGAAGTCACAACCAGGCTCTCCAGGTTAGTCAGGTGGGATGTTTTAACASAAAACACTCCATCCTTGAACCCTGCCTCCAGCTCATGCAGGCTTGACTATGAAGGAGCACTAAAGTTCAGCGATGTTGTTTGAACAGGTATCAAGCCTATACCCATAACTATTGAACAAACCTCTCCATAAGGCCAAGTCAAACTGGAGTGTTTGCAATTCCCACAGAAACAGAACGCTTTCACCAGGCTGTGGCAGTGCCTCAGAGGTAACATGAATGCACACACACGCTTCTGTAGTTTCAGGAAATAAAAAAAGTGGTTTATGTCAGTACACCTGGAAAGACACTTTAAAACAGAGCCTTTTTTTTCCCCCGGAACTCTGCAAGCTGACATCACACAGTGAAACACAAATCAAGGCTTCAAAGGGCCACGCTGGCCAATGGTCACACCAACAGCTAGAGAACAAATTGGATTTTATTTTTTTTAAACCCTWCTCCAGATATAGAAGTCATGAGGTGCTTGATCATTAACCTTTGCTTAACAACTTAATTAGTTCAATATAGAAGCAGATCGGTGCAGAATAATCCAGTCTCTTCCTCGAACAGGTGCATCAGACCTGGCTGCAACTGCTGACCACACTCCCAACAAATGTCACCAACTCCAGGAAATTCASAGAGCTTGTTTTGAAGTAAAGAGGGCAGTGCCTCCACCTTCAGTCCTACAGCATTCCTTGTGAATGTTTGTGACAAGCCAGTTAGAGCCAATTACAAGTACCAGGTTTAATGGAAGGCAGAAAAAATGAAAACATTCCTGAAGTCACTGACTTGGAAGGAAAGGCGAAGCATGCAAACAAGTGTTTTGGGGCAGAAACCCAAACAGGCAGTGCAGCATTGCTCTCACCTTCAATGCCTCTCAACAATACAAGTTTCTAATCACAATTTTAGAGAAAACATGCTGGTTTAGCAAACTTGCCCCAAAAGTCGGACAGTTTCTGTTCATAGCTCTGCCTCTTAGCATTAACTTCAACCAAGCAGTAATTTAAAAAAATAATAATCTTACTGCAAATGTATTACTTAACTTGCAGTTAGCATGCTTTTTGAGCTATGTGTAGTTCTATATATAGAACAATTATATTTATTATAGAAAAGAAGAAGAAGAGTTAGTTTCAGGTCAATGCTTCATGCTATTGAGATAAACACTGCTTCAAGAGGTCATGCAGAGGTTCTATCATGAAACACCTAACATTACATAAAGCCCAGTATTTATAAATATTTACTGTAAATAGGTCAAAATGAAAGGCCAAGTTTTAAACAAAGAGAATCAGACAAACAAGCCTAACTTTGCTTCCAGTGGGCTACTGAGAAACTCAGTATGGATCCAGTTCCCCTGTTTTTCAGTTCAGTTTTTTACTGTCAAGTATCCAACAAGGTTTTTATTCAGATTAAATCGATTGAACTACAGTCAAGTTTAAAAGTTCACAGTATCATCAAGATATGTGGTAAGTACCACCTGCTAAAAACGTCTTTCAGGAAGAGAGAAAAACTTAAAACACTAGACAAGCTTTCAAAGTGAGGTAGACAAGTCATGGTGACTTGAGTGCTGAAGGTCAGGTTCTATCTTTTTAAGTCACTCATCTAATAAAAGGCATCAGGCAACGACTGAGCTTGTTATGTTAGTATTTCTGATAGTGAGAAACTTTGTTTTGAAAAAGTATACAATTTTTGTAAATAGAAATATCCTTCTTCTACTACCAAAATAATCAGAAACATCATAGAAAACTATGCATCTTTCCTCTGATAATTTAATCCTGTTAGATAACAAGCCTTGTTAGAATAGCCAGCTACCAGCTTGCTGTTCACAGTGTAAAATATAAAAACCTTCACCCTGCTTCTGCTCTCCAATCAAGGAACACAGATCAAGAAGGCTGTATCTCAGGCATTTTCACCTCTCTACACACACCTAAGTTGATTTAGGTTTTCTACCATTAAGTATAAAGTTTGTGGTCTCCAATAATATATCAGCATGATGGCACACACAGCATGGACAGCGCTTCCTGGCAGCTCCCTCACCACAGGCACCGGTATCTGGGTTTCATGCTGCGGGCTTTGGATGCAGACCCTATCACTTACACAGTTAAACAAAAAGACAGATATGGAGAGAAGAAATCCAAATTGCTTCTGTGAGAGAAAGCTGAGACACCAGCCATGCTATTAAAACATTTTGATCACAGTAAGGCAGAGGCTAGTGGCCAAAGAACAGCTCAGAAACAGGTCTGCGTTTCACAACAACCTCTTCCTCCTCCTCCATTACCTCGGAAAGTGAGGAATATGAAGGGAAGCCCCCTCTGGTCTTTGGCTTCCTCCTTGGGCCCGTAGTGGCAGCCAGAAGCTTGTTTAAAGTCGAGGGCTTCCTTAAMCCTTTGGTGAGATCATAGAACGCCATGTCATCAGATATCACCCCCAGGAAAGTGCTAGTGGAGCTCAAGATTGAAGCCGCAAGCTTCGTGGACTTCTTGATGGGCATGGAGTGCTCCATGTTTTGGGAAAGGCTGGGATCCCCCAGCAAGCGCCTGATTTTAAGGGACGTCCCTTCCTTTAAGTACTGGTGCGGCTTCTTCCCGCTGTAGTCCCTCAGGTCRATCTTGGCGTGGTAGCTGTAGACCAGCATGGTGATGACCTTCTCCTGGCCGTGTATGGCAGCCAGGTGCAGCGCCGTGTAGCCGCCRTGCGACCTGGCATCCACGTTGACCCGGGACCCGCCCTTCTCGGCCGCTCGGATGATGTTGGTCACCATGTCGCAGTTGCCGCTCTTGGCGGCCCAGTGCAGGGCGGTGAAGCCGGAGATGAAGTCCCTGCGAGCCGCCAGGCTGGCGTCGCCCAGCAGCAGCCCGTGGAGCTGCTGTGTCCACTGTCCATCGGCCGCCAGCACCAGCCACTGGTGCTCCGCCTGCTCCAGGGGCACCACCGTCTCCTCGCTGGCCCGGTGGTTCTTGGGCCCCCTCCGCAGCCCGGGCGAGCGGGACCCGGCATCCTCGTCGAGCGGCGGGGGTGACAGCGGGGTGGCGGGCTCGCCGGGCGGCCCCGGAGCGGCGGGGGCCGGCACGCAGCGCACGGGCAGCATGCAGGGCTTGGGCGGCGGCTCCCGCCGGGCCCCCGCCGCGCCTCCGGGCAGGGGCACCCCGCCACCGCCGCCCTGGAACAGGCCCCGCAGCTCGGCCACGGCCCGCGGCACCGCCGGCTCCTCGGGGGGCGTCCCGGCGGGGCTCGGCTCGGGCACGGGAACCGGCTCGGGGCTGGGGGCTGGGACGGGAACCGGCTCGGGGCCGGGGGCTGGGACGGGGACGGGAACCGGTTCGGGGCTGGGGGCCGGGACGGGGCTGGGGGCCGGGAGGGGAGCCGGGGCAGGGTCCGGGACAGGGGCAGCGGCATCGCCCCCCGCCGGCGGGGCAGCGCGCAGCCGCCGCCTCAGCACCACGAACTTGACGCCGTCGATCTCCTTCACCGTGGCCACGGCGTTCACCGCCGCCTTGAAGCGCTCCCGCCGCTCCGCCCGCCCCTCCGCCTCCCCGGCACCGGCATCGGCACCGGCCCCGGCCCCGCCGGCCTCCAGCAGCGGCCGGAAGGCGCTCACCAGCTCGGTGTTGCGCACCCGGCCGCCGCGCTCCCTCAGGAAGCCCATCACTGCCTCGGCGCTGATGTGGAGCTCCGCCATCCCGCCGCCACAGGTGGTGGTGCYGCAGCCGCCGCCTCCGCGCGGTGCAGGCTGCCGGGAGCCCGCGGGGGTGGCCGTGGCTGGCGGCG